TAGTACATATGTAATAAGGGTTAATGCACTGCCCCGAGTTGTATATGGTGTCATAACTGCATGAGCAGCTGCCATAACCACCGAATAAACCACCGTGTGAGCGAAGCGAACGAGGTGGTTTATGAGGTGGTTATGGCAGCTGCCCATGCAGTTATGACACCATATACAACGAGGAAAAGGCAGTGCATTAAAATTATTATCATATAGCCTATCCAAACTGTCAATCAACACAATTCCTGTTTGAAATACAACAGCTTTAATATATATACATACATAAAAACACATTCGAATATATTATACGCTTTAAAACAAATATGGATAATTTCATTTAATGCAAATTGTAGTTTAAATGAAGCTAAACAAAAAAGTTTATTGGACAGAAAAATGCTACAAAGGTTTACAGAAAGAGTCGCATGCCCCTATACCCTATAACATAATGGTATCAGCCATAACACGACATGTGCTGTTATTCCGCCATAACACCACATGTGCTGTTATCGGGAAATAACAGCACGGGTATCCGGGCCTCTGATTGGTCCACGCCGTCCGGCTATATGATAATGTTAGTTAAACCTTACTTGCATAATTAATGAACTACAATTATCCCACAGACATCAGTAAGCTCTATATATTTCAAGGGGGGTTGAGATCTTCAAAGTCATGTTCTGATTTTTTGGCGTGATAGATATTAGACTGCAGCACAGAGAAATGTTATTCAATTTCATACACCATTAGATTTGTGCCAGAGTGCAGAGATAAAACGCTTCAATAGGCCAATAAATCTTCGAATTCACCGAGCCAGTATCCCAGTGTGTCAACTTTTGGAAAATAACACCGTCAAAAATAGATAATGTCCTTGTAAACCACGTCCCTACCAGTCACCCAGACGCCGAGCTGACTCGTATAAGCGTTGATAATATCGACTGTTACAGGCATGCGCTGTTATAACAACAGCACAGTGTCTCTTACGTGATTAGCATTGAGTATGCTTCATTCAGCAACGTGACATCAACTTATTCTCTGTTCACTCGCATCATGTTGGGATTCAATAATGAGTTACTTTCTTATTTTGATTACCAAACTAACAATATTTCCCAGCCTGTTTCCCAGTAATGAGTAAGGGATACCAATATATCTCGCAACTTGAGTTACGTTCTACATGTATCATTTTCCTTTCCGAAAATGCACAGAAAATGATGATGTAAGCACAGGAAATGATGATGTATACACAATAAATGATATCACTATTCTCGTGAAGAACGTGCAAACCTCTACACAAGGTGCTAGGGTAGTTACCGAGTAAAATTAAATCACCATCAATTAGTGCTGAGAAAGATGTCCATATGTGGCAGTCAGTGTACTGGGTATGAAGTTATTTTACTGGTGCATGGCACTTACAATAGTTCTCTTCAACCAAAAGAAACGGGCTACATCGTCGGCATAATCTGAAAGTAAAAGTTACAGAAAACATGGCGGAACGAGCTCCAATACTATACTAACCACTTGACAATCGGAGAGCTGTCTACAGCTATTTCTGATAAGTTGTTATCAGGTGACTGACCTAACTAATTCAATATAAAACATCTACCTTCAAAGCAGCGCCCCTGTATCGTGTTCGCCGAAGACGCATTTTTTGTTGACATAATCTATGGTCATTTGATTAGAGAACCGTTTTAAGTTGACTTGGGTCAACACGATGAACTTGGTGTATCGCCGTCTGACCCTAATGAAGTTAACGGGAGATCATCGTTTCAATGATCGCCAAGTCATCGCCGCTAAGCACAATTTCCGGCTCCAGTGGAACTTTGATCACGTCACTTCCTTAATTAATAGAATATTGAGCTCGTATGTCTCTATTAAGCGCCATGTGAGGACTCGCGGGGGCTGTATTGTGAGGGAAGTTTCACCGATATTAGATCTGTTCTTATAATTCTGTCCTTGGCGTTTCCGCGGGCCCGCACTGTCTATCGATTTGTTTGGTTAATGGTTTATTCCCGGGCATTGGGGACGTTTGTGGCACAGCCAACAGACAAAGATAAACAAGCGACGAGTGAGTGGAACAATTGCTTGACAAGGATTTCACCGACAGGCTTCGTGCCATTAAGAGCAAAAACAAACGATGCCTTTTGAGCATTCTGGCCACAAACGTGCACACTGTAAAAAGGCTGCGTAACAAATGAAAATAATTTTGCAACAGTTGCAGGATGTACACTGTATGGCGACTGTGGGCACTACTTCAATGTAACAATTCTAAGAAACTCATTTAGTTCAGACATGGCAAAATATTTACTTCACAAAAATTCTGAATAATTAGTATATTCTACATACCGGAAGGAAAACACTAAAAACTAAGGACCTTCTGTCATTTTCAATGTAACAATATTTGTCAAGTAAGAATGGTTTGGTTTCACCTTTGAAGTTATTCATATATTGAACATAAATCCATGTATAGGAGTTAGATATGATAGCAGCATATATATATAAGTATCGATATGTATACATGGTAATCTGAGATCAGCCTTAGTTCTGATTGAGAGCATCAATGGCTGAATTTCTTTACTGTAAGTAGGACAAGACGTCACAAAATGAAATTCGTTCCGACAGTTTCTTTACATTTGCGATACAGACACAAGAATCGGCTTAATCTAGGGACAGACATCAAAATAAGGTACATCACCGACAACCTCTTTACATGTGTAATGAAGTGACTAAAGGTGTTTGTTGAACCTTCTTCCAATTTCAGCTACTTCTTTTTTGACCTATTTGAGAATGGATGTAAAGACTGCGACGACAAATGACTATTCAACAAGGCACAATACATTGGTAGAGTTCACAATCCTAGCAATCGCTACATTGTTATGTGTTCTATTGGCCAGTGGCTTATTCTGCCCCAGTTAGTCATCTACAGTATATTCTTTAATATTTCCTTACAGAGGAGGCCATGACTTAATCGGGTTTATCATCTGTTCAAAACTATGTTGTTTGTTACGATTTAGTCCTGAGCCACTGTACGTCAGGTAGGTTTGATTGATAAATCACACAGTAGCAATGCAATAAATACACAAAATATTCAACTTACTTAGTTTTACTACGTGCATGTTTCCAAGCCCACAAAAAGTTTTTAAAATGTTGGATATTGTTGGACGGAAAAGTCAGTACGCTTGGGAAAGTCCAAAAGAATACCCTGTGACCAGCGTACATACATGTGTTTGTTTCTTTTAGACGAGTTATAACTTTTAAAATTTGCTAGCTCTTGAAAGAAGCGTAAGTCTGGTATGATTACAGCGAAGGCCAACCCGTCTTCAAACCCTAGCGCCGTCCTTTGTGCTGAAAGGCGTTCGCTCTGCACACAAGCGCTGTAAAACGACCCCGCTTAATTCTTTCCTTCCCGCGCCCGTCCTCTTTACAGGACAGTCTAAATGAATTGGCTAACTCCTTACA